CCCCCCCCCCCCAAAAAGAGAAGTATTAGCATCATGCTATGTCAAATACAAACAGCCGTTTGAAATCCCTTTTTTACACTACCAACAGATACAGCAGGAAGTGATCAATTTGTTTGCGCCGTTGCAAACAAACCTTTGTGTATCCACCTCACCAGAGTGTATAGTATCTGATGAGCTATAAAGAGGATAATACAGTGGCACATGTTGATATGGAATACCGGTAATCTTTGATTGTTCAACTCGATATCTCATGAGTGAGCACAGCGAATGGGTGAGATATAGAGTTGAACATGAGAAGAGCTATTCCATATCCACAAGCAACCATGCATTCGTTTTTTTTATTTTATAGAAATACTGATAGCAACGTTTTTGACGATTCTCCAAAGATTTCTGACCACTTTCCAAAGATTCTGCAAAAATTGTGCAAAGGCCACATGAACGTGTCCAAAAATTTCCGAAGATTACCAAAGGTTTCAGAAGACTCTCGAGGAGGATCCAACGATGTTTCAATCATACACCAACAAAATTAATTTAAGTACACTTTAAGGGTCAAACATGATATCAGTGAAGTAATCCATATCTTAACTAGTGAGGACATGGAAAATGTGCCTCCTGAGTCCCGGATGTGGTTTTGTATGAATTTTATGAGTGGTGTATTTTCCTGTAAAACACTCGTGTTTATATCATGGCTTTATAACTAATTAAATTTTAAAAGACAAGACTAGCACAAACTATGCAATGTTGAAACATCATTGTATTATTATTGTTGAGTTGTTCATAGCAGGAAAAAAATGGTTTACAAACTTATATTCATTTCTACGATATTTCACTGCTGCCAAACTGTGCATTTTAGGTATGACATCTACTTAGCTAATACTTGATAAATAGTTGTAATATCACTCCTAGTATCTATTTGTATTCCTACAAGTACCAGTAGGGTAGCAGAATTATGGGAACTATAGGTACAAGCAACAGCAGTGACATTTCTTTGATAATGTACAATGTACAAGCATTTTGTGTCATTTCTCCAATGAACAAACTGTTGTTCCTCACTTTTAAATTATTCATAAATGACTGCCCTTCAATTTCAAAACTTTAACAGACGAGGGGGAAAATAGTTTTTTCATTAATTTTGAAGACATTTAACAATATTATTGCAGTATAAGTTCAGCTTCATAGTCTTGAATATGAAGCACAAAGTAACACGATCTTCTCAAGTCCAGAGCAATAATTATTTACTGTTCACCAGATATTGATTCCTGAGAACTGACAAAAATACCGGGCAAGCATTTATAAATACAATCAAATATTCTGATAATTTTCCAACTTGTCTGTACAATAATTTCTCAATTATTTTACAATTTTGATTTGGTTCCCAATGAAATTCATAAGATTTCAAAACTACCAAACTACCAAACTGCCTTCACTGCTCTTTTCATCTACTCACAACCTGCATTGCAGGTTTCAGTCACATTTGAAAAAATCAAGTCTAAGCTTGTTCTGAGCAACTCAAAATCAAATAAACTCATTGACCGTTTTGACTTCTGTCAGAGGAATACTTTACCAAGTCATCTACCAAACCTGTCCAATTAAAACTATTGAGTACTTAACTACATACATTTATTTTTTAATCTTAGTTCACTATCTAAGCTGGGCATTTGCACTTCCATTGCTGCTGCCTACGAAGAAACAGTTTGTTTTAATTCTTAAAGGAGCTACGTCACAATTTGCACATCTTGAAAAGTGTAGCCTAAATTTTTCAAGTGCATCATTTGTAATCCATGTTAATTTTCTCCATCCTTAACCACCCTTGTTCCTTTACGGATTACTATTATCTCTATGCAGTTTCTCTATTTCAGTAAACAACTATTAATATTTTGGCCAAAATAACTCCAAATACAGTGACTGAGCTTCTTCTAAGGACAACAACAAAAAAAGAAGTGAGAAATATGTAATGAATACTTTAAAGAGTCTGCTGGGAAAAAAAAAATACATGGGAAGGTATAATTATTTCATCACTCCAAATGTTAATCACATTGCTTGCAATGAGTAATCTCTGATGTCTTGATCCTTCAATTGTCTGTCGACAGATTGTGTGCAGAACTAATTGGCATGTATACCCTTTGTTGTCATAATTCTGTTTGCCTGTCTGGATCTTTGGGGTCAAAGTTCCTTTTCAGTCTGTCAGGATCTCTTGATGCCATGTTTGAGAAGTCTCTGAACACATCAGTAAATGTGACATCACCTGAAATAAAATAATCCCATACCTCATATTACAGAAAAGCATTGGTGCCCAAAAACCGATGATGATGTGAACTGGCAATAAGCCCATCAAACAGAAATGCCTGTTAAGACTGATTTTCACTAGCGACATAGTCACAGGTCAGGGTCAAAGTTGTAACAGTGCTTACGGAAGTGTAAGTCATAAGTTGTAAGCGAAGTCTTAAGCTTGAAGGAAATGGAGTTGGAAGAATCAGAATGGTTCCGTTATTTTGTTCTGATTCTGTTTACAACTCTGCCGCTTATTATCCAGTGAAAACTGGATTGTCGGAGTCGGAAGCAGAAGCGGAAGAACCTACCAATCACAAGGCCCAGAATCGAACATTGTGATTGGTTTATTCTTCGGCCTCTGCTTCTGACTCTGTTGGATTGATTTTCCCTAGATCATATCACTTCACATTTCTGATTCAGACTACGACTCATTTGCAGTGAAAACCAGCCTTAAGACTGCATCTCGTGCTCACCTTGAATAACCTCATTATCCTCTCTCATTTCCTCATTCAATCTTGCCAGTCTTAACCTGCACAGTTCAAAATGATCTCCATTATGTCAACACCAAATGTGTTTCTAGACATGCACAGCAGTTATCTTACATTAAACACAACCACTTGGTATTATAATGAGTGTGAGGATGGAGGGCGGCAGAATCCTGTGGCAGGGTACCAGTAGTTTGTAATGGCAGCTTCATTGAATGAGCCAAAAGGGCAAGTTAGAAACTTCACAAACTGTATGCCCTGCCATGTTCAAGAATATTTGGGAGAAGAGCAGCTCATTCCCCATTTTCTGCTTCGAACCTGTCAACATACTGTACATACATACAACACGTCAACATACTGAACAGAAGAACCAGTCTGTGTTAACTTACAGGGTGACAATATCTGCATTGGTCTGTTTCAAAGCGATGGTAAGAGGATCCTGCAGATAAACAACAATAAGACAGTGCAAATATCTACAACCATGCAACTGTGAACTACGCTGAGCGTATAGATAATATCTCATTGCATGTTTACCTCTACCTTGAATGGAAGAAGACTGACTTAGTTTCAAGCACAACCTTTTATGCTCACTTTAATTTCGGCACTATGCAGTGTCTTAAGTTGCTTTAGCTTAACCCTTCTCCCTACTGAAGGGAAATTCCCCTAAACTATTTCATGGGATACTAGTCCCTGTGAAAAACATGATTTGTAGCAATCCAACAATAATATAGTTACTATTTATTATCCCCCCCTAGGGGTTTCACTCACATGGAATTGCCAAAATTCTCCTCTGCCAGTAAAATAACTGAGCATATGAAGAAACATTCTAACCTGCTAACTGCCATACTCACCTCACCATTCTCATCAACAGCATGTTGATTACCTCCTCGCTTCAAGAACAGCAGGATTGGCCTGATAATAACCAGGGAAAAAATATGTTAAAATCTTTACCATGACTAGTATTAATTTTAAATCTGGGAAAAAATACAGTTAAGCTTTTCTTTTGTTTGATGACAATAAAAATTTGCCAAGTTTGGAACAATATGGAGCAAGCAGACAGAACTGGCATTAAAATAATACAACACTCGGCAGTTATCACTCCATGCTCAGCTTAGTTCACCATTAAAATGCTCTCACTTGCTTGTCATTTCAGCACAACGGTTTCATTACAAATTCCCTTATCCATAAAAGTTATACAATTTATGCTATTACTAAATTTTGCTCGTTCAGGAACATCTGTTGGACTATTTTAAAGAAGAAGAAGAATTACTTCACCCTTAAAGATAACTGGTTTGATTTTTGATCTGCTGAAAATCACTGCACAATATGCCGATCCACAAAATAATTACAATGGCCTTAAGGATGATATAAAATTTACCCTGTCTGTCCCAGCAGAGCTGCATGGTGAAGAGCTCCTCTTCCTCTCTTGTCCTTCTGGTTTATCTTGGCACCATTTTGTAGCAGGAATTCGCAAGCTGGTAATGATCCCTGAAGGAAGAACAAAACAAAAAATCAACCATGCGGGGGACTATCCAAAGTTGGGAATAGATTTACTACTCTCTCTGGATGGGTTATCCTCAGTGTTTCATCTGGTTTTCATTATTTTATAAATTTTAAAGTTTGTCATAATGGGTGAAGAAAGGCTCTGTAAGAGCAGAGTGCCTTGCCTTAGAACACAACACAATGACCCTGGTCAGGGCAACAGCCCAGACCTCTTAGTGCAGAGCCCAATACACTAATATTAACTGTATTTCACACATGCCTGGATTGGCTATCAAACTACAATGTAGAGCTACTTGAACTGGAAATTGCAGGCGTAAACTATACATAAACAATAACCTCCATTTGGCCCGAAAATATGCTCGCATATTTGTCCGCAGATATTTTCTGTTTCAAGATGCAAACAGTGAGCTTTGAGGAACAGATGATGTCCAAGGACAAATATCCAAGTGTATTTTCATGCCAAATCGAGGCTATTGTGTTTATCATCCTTCAAATATTTTTTGCACCACACGCAGGTTAGAAAATTGGAGAATGTGACTCAGATATTCCCCAGTTTTGGCTGAGGAATATACAGTAATGTGACACCTTTGGACCAATTGTGCACAAGCTAAAATATTTGATGGATTCTAAACCTAAATATGGCTCATGTTAAACCTACCCCTAAGACAGACTGGTGAAGTGCTGTTTTGTGCTCATCATCCTCATTTACCCAGTTTACTTTGGCACCTGAAAGCATTTGGAACTTCCTTTAGCCTTGGGTATCATGTAGATCATTGATTTACATTTACCTTCTTTTTGGGAACAAGTCAACTAAAATATTAAGACGTACAGTGTACTGTACCTGTCATGATTAGAAAAATCAGCACATAAAGCTGAACAGAGATTGCAACCAACCTTAAGCACTATAATAATTAGTATTTAAGAAATAGAAAACGTGTACCATGTTTCTGTCGAGTTATAGAGACATGAGTGGAAGTTTGGGAGAATGAGAAATGCTGTGGGAACACCAGCTGTAGGTGAGTGTTTCCACAGCTTTTTCAAGTTCTCCCAAACTTTCACAAAAACAACGCGAGGAAAAAAAGGGAAACAACTTGTTTACTTTGATCATCAAAATGTAAATTCTCTTTGCTCGCGTCAACAGCTTGTGCTAGTTCTGTGTTTCTATCGAGTTATAGAAACACAATTTTTAACCAATCAGCGTGAATATTTTCTTAGGGCTGTTTTCTAAAGAGTGTTTTTACATGACTTCATGGCAGCCATACTGTATCAAAACAATCCTGTAGGAGTTGAACTCTTTTTTAGAATGTATATATTAATAAACACTTTCTGTTGTTTGAATTAATTTGTGTGGCTGCTGGCCATGTGAGGGAAACATTCAATGTATATTATAATATTGTAATATAATTATACATTATTTTTCAAGTGGTGTTTACCTTCAGCAAGTGCTGCAGCCATAAGAGGAAGACTCTTCCACTCTGCAGCTTTGAACAGTAGCTGAGAGTAACAAAAAGAAACTGGCAGTTAAGTGAGTGGAACTCTATAAATAAAACTTCAAGTACCAGCTATACTACTTTGAATTCTCTAATACATGTAAATTTACAATGCAACTACACACAAATGAGCAGTGTTTCAGCCAGAAAATTTTAATTGAGGGCCAAAGTGGCCCCTGAAGACCCTTTTTAGGGGCCAATTTTTTAGGAAAAGGGGCAATAAAATAATAATTGATAAAAAATAGTCACCAAATGCAAATTTTTTATTGCCAGATACTAGTATGAAGGATCCATGAATAACAAGAGAACATTCCATAGATGACGTAGTCAATGATCAAGGGTTTGCAGTGTGTTATGGGGCAATTTCAAATGTGGTCAGCCATTTGGAAGTTTTCCAATGTGAGAGAATCAATACAGGAAAGCAAAAGGGTGGATTGACTTCTTTCTTATGTTGATTGTTTTAGAGGCAAAGACCTTTCAATATGGTTTTCTAGAAGGACATAATGTGAGAAAATAACGGTTACTGATTGTCAACACAGAGAAATGTAGTCCCCATTATAGCGACTAAACCAGAATTTTTGGTTGCCAAGAATGAAATGTTAGCTGTATTGGCACCAGTATCAGTCGCAATTTTGAGCCCTGGGATGGCCTGTTAAAATACTATGCTTGTGTAAAGCCTGCAGCCTTGTAAAAGGAAAGGGCTAAATTGGCCCTTTTTTNAGTTATAGAAACACAATTTTTAACCAATCAGCGTGAATATTTTCTTAGGGCTGTTTTCTAAAGAGTGTTTTTACATGACTTCATGGCAGCCATACTGTATCAAAACAATCCTGTAGGAGTTGAACTCTTTTTTAGAATGTATATATTAATAAACACTTTCTGTTGTTTGAATTAATTTGTGTGGCTGCTGGCCATGTGAGGGAAACATTCAATGTATATTATAATATTGTAATATAATTATACATTATTTTTCAAGTGGTGTTTACCTTCAGCAAGTGCTGCAGCCATAAGAGGAAGACTCTTCCACTCTGCAGCTTTGAACAGTAGCTGAGAGTAACAAAAAGAAACTGGCAGTTAAGTGAGTGGAACTCTATAAATAAAACTTCAAGTACCAGCTATACTACTTTGAATTCTCTAATACATGTAAATTTACAATGCAACTACACACAAATGAGCAGTGTTTCAGCCAGAAAATTTTAATTGAGGGCCAAAGTGGCCCCTGAAGACCCTTTTTAGGGGCCAATTTTTTAGGAAAAGGGGCAATAAAATAATAATTGATAAAAAATAGTCACCAAATGCAAATTTTTTATCGCCAGATACTAGTATGAAGGATCCACAAATAACAAGAGAACATTCCATAGATGACGTAGTCAATGATCAAGGGTTTGCAGTGTGTAATGGGGTAATTTCAAATGTGGTCGGCCATTTGGAAGTTTTCCGATGTGAGAGAATCAATCCAGGAAAGCAAAAGGGCGGATTGACTTCTTTTCTTACGTTGATTGTTTTAGAGGCAAAGACCTTTCAATATGGTTTTCTAGAAGGACATAATGTGAGAAAATAACCGTTACTGATTGTCAACACAGAGAAATGCAGTCCCCATTATAGCGACTAAACCAGAATTTTTGGTTGCCAAGAATGAAATGTTAGTTGCATTGGCACCAGTATCAGTTGCAATTTTGAGTCCTGGGATGGCCTGTTAAAATACTATGGTTGCGTAAAGCCTGCAGCCTTGTAAAAGGAAAGGGCTAAATTGGCCCTTTTTTCGTTTTTCTGGGGGTCATCTCTGATTGCAATGTGTAATTTCCCCAATGGCGTGGTCTGGCAGAAACACTGAATGAGAGATTTTTACTGTATTTTAGTTTGTCTTCAGTTCTCTGTGTCATGTGATCAGGACAGGGGGGTCGCTGACAGAGTCCTCAAGAAACATGAACGAAATGTTGCAGCTGATACTGAAAATGAAGAAGAAGAAGGTGACGATGATGATGACAATGATGATGTTGACAATGACAATGATGATAAACTTACAGTTTATATCAAGTTTAATTTATTACTAATTCATACATGCATTTTGCATACCCTGCTGGGATGGACTCTTTTTAACACAGCAATAGCCTTCTCTCTGTCATCCTTTAGACTTTTTTCCTCATCAACAACAACTTCAGTGTTATCATTCTCAGCTTTGTCTCCAGTGTGACCATCTTCACTCAATACTGAATCAACTGACTCTCCTCTCTCTCTACCCTCATCTGACAATGAAGCTGCGACAGCACTAGTGGAGGAAGCCCGTCGTCTCTTGCTATCATCAGGAGAATCTCTATGTGATCCACTCCTGGGTCGATCCTCGTCATGTGAATCACTGCTAGCAGCCTCGTCATTGTGAAGAAGATTAGAAGCCATAGTTTCCAAATCTTCATATTCTTTACTCGTTACATCTGATAGTATCATTCCTGCTGGTGCACTCTTTCGCTTGTCCACCTTAGATTTAGCTCCTTTGATGGCAAGTTTCCTTTTAAAAAGTTTACTCTTTTTTGAGTCTGTTCTACCCACAGGCAGCTGACCTACATCCTTTTCTTCATGGTGAACCTTCATTCTGGCCAGATTTTTTATGATTCCTTTATTCAGATTTTGACAAGTTTTTAGAAAGATTTCCAGAGATGCAAACTTGCGTTGCAAGTATTTCAATTTGATCCAAGTCTCTCTTTCACCCCTAAAACACAAAACATCTGAGTATTTATACCATGCCATAGAAAAAACAGCCAATCAGAATACAGGAAAGCCGTAGTAAATTTGATGGTATAACATCCACCCTTCCCTTCTGTGTCGTGCATATGTCGCATCGATTGTGTTGGCCACTACAGGTATTTTCTATGGCATGGTATAAAATAGTTATGCCACATTCTCTCATGTTATTCCATGGAATATCCTACTTGTCACTTGTTTTTTCATCGTACATACACACTCACCTAAAGGGTCCTGTGTACACCAAGAAAATTCAAGTGACTCGTGGGGTATTCCACGGAACAACACTTGAAAGTGTTGCCTAACTACTGGCAGTATGTTAACTGTCACAAGGCATAAACAGTGTTAATACTCAGTCTAGCTGTATGTCACAAGTGATAGATGTCCCATTCTACTTAAAGAAAAAAAAAGGTCCTTAGCCTAATTATGTTGATTGTCATTACGTTACTTGCTACATCTTTTTTTCGCACAGTGCAGTAAAAACCCACGTGTAAGAACCTACACTATTTAAGTCTGGCAAAATAGGTTCTTATATTTTGGGGTGCTAAATGGCTATTTAGGCTAAGTAAGTTCTTACTGGGTTCTCAATTTCTATCAATGAGATATACATGTAGTTGTTGATTACCAGAAAAATATATGAACTTGGGTTTGGTCCTTCAAATATACAGTATTATTCACAACTACTGTATTATGGTAAGCCCAACACAACTGATTTCAGAAATTCAATGTAGTTCATAACTTAACTCACTGTAACCACATATAAGAACCTGCTTGATCTTGCTTGGCTAAACAGGTTCTTATCTTTTGAGGTTTTAAAATGGCACATTTCTGCCAACAGGTTCCTAAACCAAATGGTAAAGGGGCTGCAAGAGACGGGTCTCTTATGGGATGAAACAATAGCCAAAGTACCGGACTGGGTTCATTGGTAGGGTTCGATTGTGTCCTAATGTCCCCCATTGAATGAAGAGGATAAGTAAGAAAGTAAAGTATTAACTTACATGTTTTAGAAAGAAATGCCACCAATTATTTATCAAATTAATTGAATTTAATTCAAAGAAAGTACCTGCTGCTCTGTGGAGTAAGTTTCTTTGCACTAGAGTCCACTTTGGCTTCAAGAACTCCATTAACTAATGTATTTCCCAGTTCTGTCATTAACTAAAACACAAAACAGATTTTCAATCAGATGTTACCGACTTCCATTTGAAACATAAATTAATCATAAATAAGTACTAACACTATCAGTTAAATTCTGAAAATAATATTTTTGAAATTCAGTCTACAGCTTGTCCTCTAACTTCTTGTTAGTGGTTTTCCTTACATAGAAGAAAACAAATATAAGAATATAGATATGGACCCCCCCCCCTAGAAAGGATAGTACTGGTCAATCAGTGATAACACAGCCCCCCTCCTAACTCCTCCTTCCAATATTTTTGTCAGGTTGCTGTAATAAGTTTCCCAATACTCAATCATACCTTGACTTGTTCTGGTTCCCAGGCATCAAGAATCAAAGACCGCACCTTGGACACATGAACTCCTAAACTCCTAAAGCAACATAGATCATGATTGTATAGGATACCTTCATATCTACATGTACATTGTACGCAAAGTCTGCATACAGTGGCCCCTCAGGCCAGAGCTTTTCCCATTTTCTGTAGCATGAAGAGACTAGTCAAGAAAAGTTACACTCCCCACACTTCTACAGGGTGATTCTAAATTCAACAGGGCTGTGTATAGAAGAAACTGTCACTGAATGTTCACTTAGTGAAGTGTTCATTATGGTCCATTTGTAGGANCCCCCCCCCCCCCCCCCCCCCCCCTGGTGGGATGCATTAAGTTCTAGTATGCTTTTATACATCTGGATGGAGAAGGACACTGTAAAAATAACATGTCTTACCCAAGAACACAACACAATGTCCCCGGTCAGGGCTCAAACCCAGACCACCCAATCTGGAGTTCAGCACACTAACCATGACGTCACTGAACCTCCGCAAGTCAGAATGACAACCCTGTTAAACTCAGACCAAGAATCAACTTGTGGTTCATGTTTGGACAGTTGGAGGAAGTTTTAACAATGCTGTATTTGTGTGTGGATGGAAACAACACAAAGAGCACACTTCTACAGGGTGATTCTAAATTCAACAGGGCTGTGTATAGAAGAAACTGTCACTGAATGTTCACTTAATGAAATGTTCATTATGGTCCATTTGTAGGATTCAATGTGCAAATTTTTATTTTAGCTTGCCATTTATGTATGCTAATTAGGACTATTTAAACACTACAGTTTGCTAGCGCGCCAATCGTTTCAACGTTTTCTCTAGCTTCAAGTTAATTTCATTGTGGAATCTACACTCTACCTAGCTTCACCGTCATTGCTACAGTCAGGAAACATTTGTAAGTCTTTATATTCTGTCCTGTATTTTTCATATTGCTTGGCTCTTCTTCACATGTATCTTTATTTATTTTTCTAGTCAAACCTCGCTCAATCTTTCAATACTCAACGGGCTCCTTGAGTCTCTTCAACATATCTAGACATAGTGATCAAGAAGAACTGTAAGCTACACCATTGCTTTACCTATGAATTCCAGAGCATTCAATGCAAAGCACAATTCCCCAGTTAGTGCTTGCCCAGGTTGGGTCTAAAAATCAATAATGTAATATATTAAAAAATAAGGCAGGACTCAATCATACACACCAATTTATTTAAGGCTTTTTAAATTTTGAAATCTTAACAGCAGTTTTCCTATTGCATTTAGCAAGTAATGCACTGCATCTGTCTGGGGAGTGTGATGTCCAACAGCTTTGGGCTAAAGAATTTGGCAGTCAATTTATTGGACTCTATTCCTTGCTTGCGGGATGAGCAAGTGAAATATTTTTGGGAAAATCAATGAGGAGATACATATTACTACATCAGTAAGGGACAAAAATATTGTTAAGTAATAGCTTAATAAACCATGCTGGTAAGACATTTTGGAGGGCTACTGTGAACGACTTTCAGGCTAGTAAATCAAAATATGAATGTAATACGTGTCCATTGAAGCTTGCCCAACCCAAAAGTTGTTGTTGTTGTTGTTTTCTTGCATCCTAGGAGGGGGAATGGGCAGGGCTTGAAAAAAGTGCCATCTGGTCATCCAAGACAAGTATATTTTCCTTCTGGGCAAGTAGCGTTCATGCATACTTGCCCAATGGGCAAGGGATCAGGCAAGTTGTCTGCAATCCAAAGCATTACCAGACCAAACTAAGACTTGCCCAGGACAAGCAAAATTTGAGAGCTACTTGTCCCAAGGGCAAGATGGAAGACAATTTTTTTCTTTTTTAACCCCGGAATGGGGTGAGGCAGAAGGGTGAAAGTAGTTCTAACAGCTCTAACCACAAACAGATAAATTACATTGTGAGTAATATTGTTAGCACTCCATTTGACTGCTGAATGGACAACATTAGGGAACATCTCAGATTACTGTTAGTACATATTCACAAATGTTTTAATTTGAAGGTAAGAAGAGAAGGTGGTCATTATTATTTTTGTCCTCACCAGGATTTCCACAGTCGGCACACTTGTCATTACCAGCCACAGCTCTGATGACTTCCAGATTATATTTACTTCAAAGAAAAACAACATTATATGTTATAAGGAGCTATAGAGTCATTCAGAGTTACAGAATTGGAAGTTTACTGAGGTATGCATTATTTTATAGTGAAATCTCAAACATTTATCAGACAATTTCAAAACTTGTGGACAGAAAACATAAGCAAAAAACATAAATCAAGCATTGTTAAACTGAAATCTGAAAAATTCAATGAAGTTAATAATGGATTAACTTAGTCATGCTTCAAATACTACGCCCACGAGAATAAACTACACATAGCAAATTCGAAAAAGTTATGACAATCACTTAAAATTTAGACTGTTCACAGTCCCATATTTTTCTGTGAGATGGTAGATGTCGATCGTTGAGCTCGACGGGCCGCCATCTTGATCTCTTGATGCGAGTGAAACTGGAGAGAGAGGACAAAATGCCCGTGGGTAGGGGTGGTGGAGTGGAGGGCACGGCCGGCAGAAAAAATAGGGAGACTGTAACAGCTTCACTCTGTCTCGTGTTCAAGGGGCGCGGCCGCCAGTTTGGCACCTCCTTTAATCAAATCAATTAACAATCTCCTCTCCTGAGAAAAAACCTGTCAAATCAGGGATGATGATATGAATACATGTTACTGTGTTGTGAATTTCGAAACATTTTGAAGGTTTACTAAGTTGCGTCAAATGAATGTGGGACGGAAGAACTTTTTTCTGACTCCAAAAAAAGTGGCAAAGCCCACAGAGAATTCCAATTATTCAGATGCCTGCTGTCTTTGTGGCATAATTTCAGTCAGAAATAAGAACAACCAACGGAGCTTTCAGCCATTTCCGTCGCCAAAACGAAACTTTGATATATTAAACTTTTGCCAAAACCAGTTGGAAGAACCGACAAAACATCTTTTCCTTCAAGTAAACGAGAAATGGCCTCTTTTTGCCTGCGCTTTAACACCAATCCTCCAAGACAAGAAGCAGACAGATGATCGAAATCAAAACTTTCTCCAGATAATTCTCTTGAAATCGATGCCATTTTGGCCTGAGCCGCGAAGTGATAAATGTCACTTTCTGTCACTCAAGTTGTCAACGCTCAGCTACGCTCTGATGAACTCTATTGTCCCTTTGACCAATCAGGTGTTGCCGTTGCTGGAGCAACTAACGCAGCGAACACCAGAGAGAGTGAAGCTGTTACAGTCTCCCTATTTTTTCCGCCCCATCACCCCTACGCTATTAACCCCACCGCCACTACCCACGGGCATTTTGTACTCTCCCCAGTATCGCTCGCATCAAGAGACCAAGATGACCGCCCATCGAACTCAACGATCGACATCTACGATCTCACGGAAAAATAGGGGACTGCGAACAGTCTACTTAAAATTAATTATTATAGGTACATTATATTGTTGTGATGCAGTGAAACTCTCTGCAGTGGTACATGTACACCATCAGTGAAGAATTTCTTGGATTGAGTCTTAGATGTTTCTCAAGTAGGGGAGAACATGAGGAGAACATGAAGGGAGCAGCAAGTCTACTGAGGCACAGGGAGGGTGGAGAAGGGGTTTATAGTTAGCTATTAAGTGGTGACAGTGAAAAAGGTACTCAGTCCAACCTTGGTCCAGAGATTTTGTCTAAAGAATCCATACTTTTGCTCTTTCTGCCTGATCCCAGTGAGTCACTCTGTAATAAAATTTCACAATAGTTGGTTGGGAAATAGTAGCCAGGCAAACCCCAGGGCATTTAGCAAATATATTTTATCTCTGTGAAATACATTGTGTAGCTTATCATTAGGTTTACATATGACTAAATAGTTTCTTTTGTTTCATTCACTCAAGCCTCAAAGCCAGGTACTGTGTGAATTTTAAATGAATTTTGTCTCTTAGTTCAATCAGCAGTTAAGCAGAGGTCAAATGCATGCATAAATGTTCAAATAAGCCAGATTTTATGTATTCACTAAGGTCCTGTAAGTATTATATAGCTTTTTCCTTTCAAAACCAAATGTTAACTAATAATATGAACTCTACGTCAGAGATATCAATATTAATTACAGCTCCTACTTGCCACCTTAGCTTCCTAAAATAATTGTATGCTGGAAACAGCAGATGTATAGAATTATACCTTACAGTAATCCCACCTACCTCACTACTGTCAGTTTCTACTCTGGTTGTATTGTTAAAAGCCTTGTCAATGCTGGCCTGCAATTCACCAAAAAAAAAAAACACACTCAAAACCTTACAAAATCAGGTAATTAATAACTTATGTGCCACTACACAACTTTATGTACAACAGATAAGAATTGCACTAATATTGGCATTGAAAAACAAGAAGAAGAAGGTTCATTCTGTAGCTAGAGATATGGAAAAGGAATTCTCACTAGTTAACTGTGACACTTGCTTTCTGATGAGTTAACATACCTGCATAGCTTCCATCCATTCATCTCGTAATGAGTCACTGTCTGCTTGAAGATACCATGATCTGTAAAGCAGTTTAAACAGTTTTTTTAATTTCCTTTTATTATGTAGTGCTCTCTATTCTCTACTCTTTTGCAGAGGCCTAGTGGCCTCATGTTTAGTGTACTTGTTTCTGGATTGAGTGGTCCAGGTTCTAGCTCTGGCTACGGACATTGTGCTGTGTTCTTGGGAAAGACACTTTACTCTCACAGTGCCTCTCTCCACCCAGGTGTTTAAATTGGTATTGGCACACTTACACTGGGAGGTAACCCTGTGATGGACTAGCTCCCATCCAGGGGGGAGTAAAAATACTACTGGTCACTTCATGCTACAGAAACCGGGATAAGCTCCAGCCTGATGGCTTGTATGCAGACTTAAACTACCTTTATAAGTACTCTCTACACATGCCGATATCACGTATTAATTTAATCATTAGTCAAGTGATGAGTTCATGCGCATATACATCTGTGGCAATGCAAAATATTGGCGAGCACTATTTAGCCCTTAATGAAGTCTTGGTTTTTCCACTTCATGTGGCCTTGTGGGCTCAGACGAGAAGTAATAATAATATAATAATTATTATATTATTTATTCCGGTCTGAGCCCACAAGGTCACAGGAAGTGAAAATAATTATTATTAATAGTAATTCAAGCCTTACTTTGTTGGTGACACAACTTCAAAGATGAATCGTCTTTCTACTGCTTCTTCTGCAAGCCTAACTTTACACAATCTTAGATCTTCAGCAAGAACTGTTTGGTCATCCTGCGAACAAAAAAAGAAAAATATATGATTGATGTCTTGAACACAGTGTTGATTTGTGTTATTTTGTTGGTGAATAAGCTTATTAATTTATTGAAGAACCCATCAACACCACAGCAAAATACTCTCAGTAGTTTTCTTTTGAATGATCACATCCTAGGGTTTAGACTAATAGTTAGAACCACCTTGTACAGCATACCACATAGTACTTAGTAGCTTTATAAATAAACAGTAGCAAGAAACAGTATCATGTTACAGTATCACAGTTCTGCACAATAATTATATTATTAATAGCTTTCATTTGAATGATAACACACAAAAGTATCATCAACAGAACTGATGATATCATTTTCTGTTGATGGCACACTGATGTACTCAAATATAGGAAGAAAAATCATTTTTCAGGCTTTACATGATCAACCAGGGCTGTCATTAAGGGCCATAACCTGCATTACCTGTCACAGGTAATTATGCTGGATGCTTCAGGTACAGGTGAAATTGCTTGTTGTGATAGAATCCACCCACAAAGTAAAAAGTTTGCAATGGGTGTGGAGAATAAAGCTACAGGTGACTCAAAACGTAATGACAGCCCTGTCAACCACACTGGACTCTGATCTTCTCTGCTACAAAACCACGTGTTTGAAGTATTACAGGCACGGGTTACAAACAGACATGTATACATTTGTACATGTACCTTTAATCGCTTCTGATACATCAGCTGGTTGTTTTGTACTGTAAAATATCTCCTGTAGAGCAAGAAAATCAGACAGCTACCATAAGAAGGTACATGCAGAATGGTAGGACTTGGGAAGGAGGTATTAAGGTGTCTTTCAGTGTACTCTCCACATAATTATTTTTTTTTGAATTCTCACCGATGCCAACTCCTAAAAGCATTACTACTCCTTTTAAACAAGTAGCCTTCCATCACTAAGCCACTGTAAGAAAAAAAAGGTAGAGTAACAGAAATTATGAATTATTTAAAACAAACAGTAAGAGAGGGATAGTTCAATGTGTTTAACTTACAGTATACACAGAGAAGCAACTGTAGAAAAATTTAGTGTGCATGGAACTTATCACAAGCTTATCACAAGCTTATCACATCTACAGTCTTGCTGTAGATGTGACTATTTATACCTTGGGTCATCCAGGTTCCTTCTTCCTAAGCTCACGGTCTCCTCCTAAATTACGAAAAGTCACCATGAGCTATTACATTAAGGACTTTTTTTTCAGTTACCTCAAAAACAAAAAATTCTACATCACTGTGTTACTTCTGGCTGTGAAACATATTATTTTTTTGGAAATTCAAAATAATGTGGTTGTCTGACAAATTGTTGCAGTTTACTTGTCCCAAGTTTGTCATCCCAAATTCTGCAAGAAACAGTTTTATTTAATGCCAATTGATTTCCAAGCACATTCACATGAAAATATCTAGATATTATGCATTTTTGGATACCTATAATTGACAATATCTTCTAGGTTTGATTTATACTGCCTCATTTTTTTTACTTACCATTTTCTGGACCAGGGTGTGTCTCTCTTCCATCTCTTTCTTATCCACTGTAAACTGAGCAGACATTTTTTCCAGCTGGATTGTAATTAAGCAGTGAAAGGAGTCACGAATCATAATACAGTCAAACCTTCACTGACGGCTACTGAACTTGTTTGTAGTAAATATATTGTACAATTCACCCATAAAGTAACAAGTTTGTTACGGGTGTGAAGATCAAGGCTACAGTTGAATCAAAACTTTCTGACAGTGTTTCCCTCAGGCTCACAATTTTCAAGTAAGTTGAGTTTGATTCACACAATCATTTCATGATCTTGTGATTCACAACTTGGTTTGACCGTTCACAGTTTTCATACCTCACTTGACACATTCTTCATGTATTGGTCTAAGTCATTCATCAAGTCATAGCCCTGGTGAAAGTACGTTGACTGTGCATGCATAAACTTTAAAATCTGAAAGAGCAGCAAAACAGCAAATCACATCAACTACTACTCAACCCTAACATTGAGGTAGTGTACATCAAGAACAGACAATCATGCAAATTTAGAGAATAGTGCAACCCACATGTAGCTGTCACAACTTACAGTATCCAGAACATCAATTCTCCTCCGTGACTGCAAAATGTTGATCTGAAAATCAAACCAAATACCTGGTTAATAATACCAATACATGGTAAATATCTCAGTCCATGGTAGACAGCACTGAACCAAAGAGACAGTGCAGTCCCACTGAATGTGCTAACAGTACATCACTGGATACCCTTAGGTTGCACATTACAAGTTTGCTTTTCAAATTGCTAGTATCATTTCAATAATAATTAAGTAAATGTATACATAGTAAGTAAAAACTGTAGGAATTGGCACTGGTGTATCCTGTGAAGACGCTTTTAATCCACAGATTAAATTATAATTCAGAAATGTTTGTCATTATAATACTCCTGGATGAGAAGAAAGTCTTTCCCGAGAGCATAACACGATACCTTCCACACAGTCCTTGATCTACTGTCCTAAACTCTTACTGAGCACTATACCACTATATATGGATTGTATAAATTATTGGGAAGCTTAATTGTGAACAAAAAATTCCCCAACTCTCTTTCAGTAGTTGTCACTGTCAATAAAGAAAACCTTCTACCAAGATTGTGCCCACAGGCAATGCAGAAGTCAACTCAAACTTTGTTAAATTATGACAAAATTTTACCTGGAAGGCATAATCCAGTGCTGTATGGTTAAAACATGAATGCATTGCTGTCACAATATTCTTTGCCTGCCATATGTGAAACAAACAATGACAATTTTAACTGTTTATTCCAAAGGTAAATGATCAAAATAAAAAATAATATTAAAAATAATGTTAAAAAAACATAAATTATAAAAATTCTGCGTGATACAAACTGGAAAGGAAAACAAAATCCCACCTCTTCAGCCTCAGATGGTCTACAGTGACGCTGAAGTTGTGCATTTCTTGTCAAGGCACTGAAAAAATGAAACAAACCTTGATCTTAAAACTATCATTTATTGCTAACATTATTATCGAGTTAACAATATTTTCCAACAACAATGGTGTGGCAGTCGATGTACTCACTTATCTAAATCGTCACTGACTCGGTCAAAGAGTTTTTTGGTCTCCTTAACCTTCTTTACTTCCCTGAAACAAAAAAAAAGATAAGTAAAGACTACTCAGAATTACATCTTCAAATGAAGTAACTTCTTTCTTTTCTCTAATATAAATGCAACTCCTGTAAACAAATATTAACATTTAACATGCATGACTGACTATAGGTTTATTTTGGTTTTTTTCATCTTCAACCCTTCAGCCCTGATACATGAATTAAGCATGCAAAAGCTCTACCAACTGGCCATATAATTCATAAGAGAATTTCACTGTTTTGAATACACACTGAGTAAGAGACAGTTTCACAGACTCACTCTTTGATAAAAGTTTGCAGAGTGCTGGATATAGATCTCTGAGCTTGCTCCAATAGAATCTAAAGAAACAAAAGATATTCATGTCAAACAAAATAATCCCATTTAGTTCCATAATTATAGTAGACAATTAACACCCATTGTTTTGAACAAGCCATAACAACCTGACAAAGTAGTCAACAATATTATTAGGATAACTTATGAATCCCAAATGAGAGTCAGCATATTTTTATTTCCCTCTCACAGTAGGATGTGCCTCTATACAAAACATTCTTACCTACATTTGTATTAAAAAATACAGCTAAATCACGCTATCTCAAACCCTCAAGGGAAACATAGTAAATGACCAAAAGGTATATTCAAGGGAAAATAATTTGGGCTCAAGATAGAGGGAAGTTCAAATGAGACAACCAAGTTCAAGAAAATGTGGTTCTTTTGGGAGTCTACTGCACACCATATCCGGGACACAAAGTTGCAAAACAAGTCTAACTTACTAACAAGAAGTTCTGTAGCTCAGTCAGAGCACATGAGAACTTTTTTAGGGTAGAGGAAACCAGCTCATCTCCAACAAAGTACTTCATCAGGCTGTCAATACCACCCACCAAGGCACTGCAAACATAGCACAATCATGTAGATTTAGATTCAAGGATCTTTATCTAGGTCCAAGGAACAACTGAGGGTTTTAGCCTACCAGGTCAAAGTAATATTCATTAATACATCAGTTTTAATCCTAATAAGTGGAATCTAAGGAAATACATGTAGGAGTGACAAGACTGGGATGTCAACAATAATATTGTTCTTAAACCAACCTTGACCTTAAGAGCTTACATGTAGTTCAAGTATTACCAACAAGGAGTTAATGCTTACCTTGTAGATGTGTTAAACAATTTCCCTGCTTCAACCATTCCATTACAAAGCTTGATAAGCTAAATGCAAAATACTTGTTTGAGCAAACTTGTTCAAGTAATACAAAGATGAAGAATTGTGCATATGTACATGTATATTTACTTTAAAAAATATAAAAGTAGGGAGGAAAAAATGATGCCTACCCTGGTACCAGAGGTTTTTCTTGATTTTTCTCTCCATGAGAGAGCAGTGAGGAGCCGCAAAGCGGCAGACACAAGTCGCAAAGCGGTGAGAAAGAAAAGGTTTTTCTTTCTCGCCACTTCGTGACTCGTGTTCGCCACTTTGCGGCTCTCTTGGCTGTTTCATTTCATGCGGAAAAAAATCAAGAAAAACCTCTGGGACCAAGGTAAATGATGTCTGGTAACACCCCGTACCTCTCCTCCCCCTCCCCCCTCTCTCTCCTCCCACTCTTGGTATTTCATTTGGTTACTGGAACAATTTACTAACAGCAGTAAATTAAAATATATTTGAATGGAAAAAACACTAGCATCTGTATCAGAAAATGTGTGATTACTGAACAGTGATACAAAGATGATCAAACAGGGAGGGGAGGGGCAGTATGGCA